AACTGTTAATAATGGTGACCAATGAGGTTTTAAAAATTCTTTAATTAGAGATTTAATGTGAAATATAAGGTGACCTAAATTCCCACTAAGGTATAAGGTACTATCAATGTTAATGACACTATAGGTAGGTAACTGTGGTAGGTCCTGGTATCAGATCCTTGCTTGAAATGCTCTGATGACTGAGGGGGAGAGAGAACTCAAAGCTGCTGCTACAGTGGGGAGGACAGAATGATGTAAAGACCCCCAGAAGGGACGCTTACAAGTGCCCAAAGACATATTGTCCCCACTTAGTTGCTGGGACTAGCCCTCTGGCCCAAGAACCAACACCTCCATGGAGTTTGCTAATGTCTATCCAGTGTTCTGTCTACTATGTGCCTTTGGAGCTGATGACATCTCCATCTCCCAAGTGGGATTAATACCTTACGGGGTTGGTAGATGGCATTTTGCACGCACTTAGCAGAAGAGGTAATACCTCTTAAGAGTTTCTGCAGTTTTCTAGCTGTAATTGTGCTTCTGCTTAAGAAAAGCTAGGTTGGATGCCTTAAGCTAATAATAGTTTGGCCTCATTCTTGCCTCATTCCTTTGCTATGAAGGCTTTTTATGTAGCTTTTCTGTTTATTTGTGTATGGTGTCTCTCCCTCCCCATTTCTTGTAATGCTGTTGCTTTATTTCTCTTCCATTCAAAATTTTTTTTCCTTTCTTTTTGCTGCATGGAGACTCTCTGCTGTACAAGTGTAAGTATTTTTTGGTGGCTCTGCAGATTCTGGCTGTACTAGTTTACATCCTTGTGCTCCATTTGCTTCTGTGCTGCCTGGCTGATCTCCCAGGAGGCTGTAGTGTCGTCATCCGTCTTGGATCCTGAATAAAATAGGCAGCAATTTAGAGACAAGATTGAACTTTACAAGATGGTTCAGCTTAGCAAAACATGCAATGAATTTAAAATATTCCCAGCCATGTGCCTGAAAGCAAGCAGAGTGTTGATGAAGAGGGTATAAACATTCAAGAGGAGAAAAGTGCTTCTTCCATTCATGTTTAAAAAAAAAAGACATGATTACTTAAACTTCCAAGGTTTTTAATTTCTGATTCTTGTCATATTACTTGTTTCCCAGAGTTGTAGAAGACTGGCATCGTAATACCTTCTTGTATTAGAAGGTTTTTACTAATCTGCTTTCCAACTGTTTCTGTTTTCTTTTTTTTTTTTTTAACGTCAAGGAAAAGAAAAGTAATTAAGGATTCTTGAGCTTTGGAGTGAGGGTGTTGTTTATTATTCTTTGCACAAACTTGGTAAAATGAACGAGGAAACTACTCCCTCCTATTTTTCTGGTGATAGAAACAATTTAACTCTCATTAAAAAAAAAATTAGTATGTCTAACAATTATGTGTTAAAAATGAGTTTAACAGGAAAAATACGTTGTGTTGTTTATAAGGTTCTAACATTAGTCCTTAACTTATGGTAAAAGTGGATATGTATCACTATTGAGCTACATGGAGAATAGTTATAAATCCATTATAAAAACTGGATCAAACGAGTAAGATTTCCAAGCAGTGTAGACATTGTGCTGCTTTTGGATGCTTAGAGAATAGAGCCATGCATTTCATTCACTGTCTGCCACTATGGGGATTTACTGATGTTTGTGATATCAGAATAAGTCTATGTTTAGAGTTTTCCTTCTAAAGTTATATTTTAAAGGGTTTAACACATTGTTCCTCATATTTCCTGAGGATGGGAATATTGAAAATTACTTACTACTCATAAAATGCACTTTTAAAGACAAAGTAATTTTGTGTAGGCCTGAAGTAATAGTTGGCAATGTTAATCATACATCGATTTGTGAAGGGTCCCTTTGGCATGTGTCCCTCTTCTGCTTCCATTGCTGACCCCCTTCATCTGTTGGGCACTTTGTGATTTCTCTGATCAGAAAATACTTAGGCATTGACAAATGTCCAGGAAGAGTAAACAAGGACTAAGACATAGTGTGAGAAAATTAACCCTTTCATTTTGGTTCAAAAAGGGAAGAGAGTAAATGTAAATCTGGACGGTAAAGCCAGATTTTTTTTTTTCCAGGATTCAATTCATCTAACCAACAGGTGTGAGAAGGGGGAAGAGAGTGCGTAGAAACCATCTTTCTAGAGAAACGTACAGTATGTGTTCCTAAATGTACACATAGGTGGATAATCGTATCATTCTTACATTTCCTCTTGCTTTAGATTTATATGTAATCAAATCATAAGAATGAGCCAATAAGATTGAGCAAGTCCACACTGTCTGTAAAACTGTTAGGGAAGAAACAATTGTAAAGAAAAGAAAGAAAACTATGAAGAAATAAAATTCACTTTTTTTCTCCATTGTTATACTTAAATCATGTTTATTCTTTCTCATGAAAGAAAGAGATTGTAAAACAGTTCATCCATCGAAAGAAATGTATAAAATCAGGTTGCGTTCTTAACACCAGTTGTAGAAACCAGCCTGATTGCAAGCTCTTACCATTATTTTAGCAAAAGGCCGTTGGCCCTGTTCAAACATGGCAAAACTTCAGAATTCACAGATATGTCAGACACAGAGAGAGAGTTTTATGCAGAATGCAACTGGAAGTTATATGCTCTTGTAAAGAGCATATGAAATGAAAGAAAGCAATGAAAATGCATTAGAATGCATCTTTCTGATATTCAAATTTTGTGTACTAGGTTTTGAGGCATTAGAAAGCTAGACCAAGAAAGGCAAACTGGTTTCCCTTTGATTACTGTCATCCATCAAAAATCCTGATGATTTTGTATGTTTCTCAATGTGTCTGTAAAATTAGATTGAGCGGAATGATCCATTTACAGTTGGGCATCAGTTTGTAAATGAGTTTCTATTTTTTATATATGTTATATATATTCTCTTATATGTAATTCTATATGTATTTCTTTTTATATATTTAAAAATTATAATATAGTTGAAATGTCATTATTGTCATATGTTTTAACATGTATTTGGTATTCATTATAAAGGCTAAATAGGGAAGCTTGACCCAGATTATTTTTGCCCACAAACGCTTTTTCTTATAAAATCTAATGAGGAGTGACAGGAAAGAATTTTGGAAGACATCTTCATTCTGTGCATTTGTAAACTTCTTTCCTATTTATCTGTGACTCTCTAAATGAATTGGCTGGAAATTATATCCCAGGCTACTTCTTAATCCTTTTTACCTATCAAGGTTGTGCACAAGGTGGATACAATACTGAAGGAGTTTTTATGACCAAACACAGCTTATATTTTGATAGTTTGTGTCTCCTTGAAAATTATTTTTAGAGGTTTCACTTATGAATAGACCAGTCACACCACCTTCAACCAACTGTAAGGCCTGTTTTGGGGAGAACTGTCTTGAAACTGGATTCATTTCCAGCTGCACTGGATTGGTTGTATTTTTATTGAACCTGCAAAGCCCGATGCTTTATAAAAAGATTTTCCTCTGATTGTCTGCCTTTAAAAAACCTTGAAAGAACCAAATCAGCAAGTTTCATTATGTTCAGGAAGACCAGTCTGGATTTAAATTCTATTGTTCACCATTTTTAATCTCCTTTTTCTCTCAATAATAAATAGCAAACGGATATTATTGTTAAAAATGACATAAGATTGTCAAAACTGTAAAGCTGTTTGCTTTAAAGGTCAATATGAAACAATTTATTCTTTGAACCTTGTTATCAACCTGTGGATTTTCTTTTTTTTTTTTTTGAGAAAGCTTTAGATGACAACCTATTAAGTGAAATGAAAGTCTACAAACTAAGTTCTTTCAGTTATGTTATATCTTAGTTTACACGAATACCAGTTTCCAGTGTCAAAGCAGTTAACACCCCTAAAATCCATCCGTTTATTGATCACAAGTGGTGAGGCAGGAGGGATGCTGGGCTGACCTTAATAACTGGCTCTGTCCCTGGCCCTGCTCCTCTTGACTTGAGTGGTAGTCCTTATCATCTCCATGACTCAGTTTCTTCCTTGCAATTTGTGGAGGTGATGACAAAGGTCCCCTCCAGCTTTGACACGAGTTATCGTGTTGAGGGAGAAGCTAATGTCTTCCTTAACGTTTGACTTAACATAATCACCAGTTGACACCAGTGCTAGAAAAATGCTCTAAGAAGTTGTGGCCATGGTTTGGGTTTTGGTCTCCTTTTTTAAAAGGAAAAGAAGGATCAAAGATGTCTTACTGAGAAGGGACAGCAGATAGACTTCTAAATCATGGCAACTTTTTCTTTGGTCTTTGGTCTATGGTCTTTGCTCATAATGTAAAGATCAAAATTTTTGTGGCACAAATGTGAAACAAAACAGTTAAACTGGGCTTCCCTGGTGGCGCAGTGGTTGAGAGTCCGCCTGCCGATGCAGGGGACACGGGTTTGTGCCCCGGTCCGGGAGGATCCCGCATGCCGCGGAGCTGCTGGGCCCGTGAACCATGGCCGCTGAGCCTGCGCGCCCGGAGCCTGTGCTCCGCAACGGGAGCGGCCACAGCGGTGAGAGGCCCGCGTGCCGCAAAAAAACAAAACAAAACAAAACAAACAGTTAAACTGCTTAAATCATTAAGATGACAAAGAGTTTGGTGTTGCTTATATTGACGTTGCTGTGATAATGAACAGTGAGTAATTGTGTTTTCAATTTTTAGCGACTGATTTTTACAGTCTTTCATCCTTATTCCTTATATCTGTTTTAACATCCTCGTGTGCAGGTTAGAATTAAATCCTATATCGTTCATTGTTCCTTTCAGCTATAAAAATAGAATTTAACTGAATAGGGCTAGGGGAAAGAAGTTGGCTGTATCATTTGAGAAAGTGGTAAACATTTAGAAATGTCTTGGCTTAGCCCCTTCAGTCTGGCTGTCAGATGTTACTAACCATCCTCTGAAGATGTAAATACTGAGCGTAAAACAATTGATCCCAAATATTAGCCCCCCCGCAACAATGTTTCTAAACTTTGAAAGTTAAGTTTTCTGGGAATACCTGTCTAAGTACTTTCTTTATTTTATTGCTAGATGACTCCTAAATCCAAAAGGAAGACTATCCATAGCCGAATGCTGCGGCCTGTTTCCAGGGCATTTGGTAAGTGAGTATTTTGCTCATGCCAGTCATTTCCTTATAACTGTGAAACACCCCTCAGCAAAGAATCTCGGACCACTTCAAGGATATTTCTTAGGGATGCTCTAAGTGAGTAAATATTGAGAAAGAGAATTAAGTGATTTGTGAATGAGTGTTTGCTATTCAGTGATAGACTTAAAATTACTTTTAGGAACTTTTTTATCCATCTCTATGCAGTAAGCTTCAACCTGGGGCTTTGCTTTATTTTAGAAATGGAATTTGACCTTGATAAGGCCCTGGAAGAAGTGCCAATTCACATTGAAGACCCGCCTTTCCCATCCATCAGACAAGAGAAGCAGAGCTCAGGGTTTATCTCTGACTTGCCGTCCGAGGAAGGAAAGAAGCTGGAGCACTTTACCAAGTTAAGACCAAAACGGGCTAAGAAGCAGCAATCCACGCACGCAGCGGTAGGTGGGCTGGAGGGGCCCCGTCTCTCCCTCACCCTGTCCTCCTCCAGGGAAACCTGGAGAGTCTTATAAAAGCGTGTTGCATACCTGAAAGCTTGTAGTTAAGGAGAATAGAACCTCTACGTGTGTGTGATATTCACATAAAATGTCTCATTTGGTGCTCAACAATTTCGGAAAAGACAACACTGTAAGGTTTTCAACTCTTTAGAACAGAGTTGCCCCTTGGAAGTTGTTAGAAAAATACCAGTCACGTGGGTGAGATAAAAAGGCTACATCTAATAGGATTTTATAGTGTCCGGGTGTGAAAAGATGGAGAATAAGTATCAAAGAATTGATTAAAAATTGTTTGCATTTGATTTTGGACTCTGCACCCATATACTCCCCCACCTCTGTGTCCTGACCTGCTGTGGTGCCCTGGCTTTTGATAATCCACAAGCTGAGTGGTGGAGGAGAGGCCGTACCTGGGAGAACCATGCAGGCAGCATGCTTCTCAGCATCCTGCTCTCTACTCAGGAGAGGACTGAACTGTCTGCGCTAAGGAACCTTAATGCAACTGACCCCATGTCTCTCTTTGGTTAGTGTCTTTTCTCTCCTTTGCAGTCAGGCTTCTTGAAAGAGTTTGTCTTTGCCTGTGGTCTTTCTCCCTCACCTTCCTGTCACTCTGCAGCCCACCAAAATCTTCATTCTTTACCTACCCACCTCTGAAACTACCCTGCCAAGGTCACTCCTAACCTAATCCTGTGGACACGTGTCAGCTGTCAGCCTACTTGACATCTCAGCAGTTACTTGACCCAGAAAGCTCCATCCTCTGTGGGCCCCTGAGTCATCACTCTCTTTTCTTTCCCGTTCACCTCTCCAGCGATGCCTGTTCAGTTTTCCTCTGCCTGGCCTTTGAGTGTATTATTTGTCTCGGTGATGTCATCTAAACCTGTGGTTTCCATTTCCCTGTTGTTGACTCCTGCCTCCTCTGCTGAGCTCCATATGCAGATATTCACCTGCCTCCTGAACTTTAAAGCCCCGGAGCACCTCAGGTTCAACAAATTCAAAACTGGGAGCCTATCTTTCTCTATAAACCTGCCCTGCTCCACAAGGAGCATCACCAGTCAACAAGCTAGAAACCTGGATATGATCCCCAATACCAGCCCCCACTGCCGTCCCTGTTTGCTCTTCACCTTCTGCCTTCCTCCTCCTCATCCCTGCATCCCTCACTCTCATCCTGTTTCAGGCCTCCAGTGATGCAGCCTTTCTGTCATTGCTTCCTCTCTCCCCCCCGCCCCCACCCCTCCATCCTCCTACCCTTAGCTCCTAGGTGGATAACTACTCATTTTGCAGACCTCCACTGAGGCAAGACTTCTCCCAGGAAGCCCTCCCTGTCTCTACCTCTGTTCTCCCACATGGCTGGGGGTGCACGGCTCCAGGGAAGGTTGTTCTCCCGCACTAGTTGTGCACAGTGCACAGCCTGAGCAACCTTCCGTGGAGGCCCTGCTCCCCCAGTGCCTGGCTTTTACCCTGTTAAAGCCCTCGCTGTACAGTGTTTTCTAAGCACGCTTTCCTCCTTGTGTATAAGCTCTGTGTAGGAAGGTGTATGGTTTATTATCCATGGTTGTATACTGAGCGCTCAGTATGAATTTATTCAATACAATGTAGCAGGCGTTCTATACTCACTGGATGATAGGTGGATGACTGGAGTCATAGATAGATAAAAGTCACAACCAGTTATCTGCATGGTCAGTCATTTGCTCATTCCACATCCAGGTTGGGTGTATTTGGTTGATTTCTCTCATTTGATTCTGAATATCTTGACATGGTTTCAAAAAGACAAAAGAAAACAAATTTTTAGTAAATTGTTTTCTTTTCCAACTTACTTGATTTTAACAGGGTTGGCAAACCCCAGGCTGCTCCATCCTAGGGACTCTGTAGCACAAGGTTATGTCCTAGGATAATGGATTATGGTCCCGGGTCTCAATAGATCTTCCCAGAGGCTTGGTAGCCTGAGAAAAAACGTGCACAGCTTGTTCTCCCTTGGTTTCACAGTGAAAATATGCTGCCGAATGGTTTCACAGAGCTTGTGATTTTCAAAGTGCTCTCACATTGAACACCTCTGTGAAGCTGCCACACGGGCCCCATTGTCTGCATTTTCCAGTGGAGGGTGAGCAGGCTGCAGTATTGAGTAGCAGCAGTCATTTAATATTATCGTTTTGGTTTGGTTTTGGTGGATTGAGTAGCCTTAGTCCACCCTAAATGGATCTTAGCTTTTCTAGAGCTTGTCCTTGACCCCCTAATGCCCCTAATGAGCTTTTCTAGATGTCAGAACTCTCAAAGCCAAGGTATGGAGGCTGTTTTTACTTTCAGCATTTCTAATACCAAATGTGTGGTTTTCTTCCCGCCACACCTGCTAATTCTTCAACTCTGGACAGCAACTGGGTGTCCCACAATTCAATTCAATTCTGACTCCTCAGATGAAGGGCTCAGCGGTACGCTCACTTCAGATACCAGTCTCAGGTCGCCTCCTGTACTTCTGACCGATGGACTTCATGGGAGGTTCCCATGCCCCCCTCCTTAGGTTAGATAATTTGCTAGAATGGCTCAGAATACTCAAGAGGACACTTTACTTACTATTACTGGTTTATTATAAAGGATACTGTCAACTGAAATAAAAGCATGCAATGTGAGAGCTGTGGAGTTTCAGTTTTATTTGGGGACTTCCTGGGGACTATAGCCTGGGAGAGAGCCTCTCCAAAGACACCGAGGAACTGTTCAAAGAGGTGAGGGGCAGGTCAGCATATGTGTGATTTTGGAGAACGGGTATGTGCAGTCAAGCACATATCTTGGTAGAAGGTTGCTGCTGGTCATGGGGCACAGATATCTTAATGATTGTAGTGCTTTTCTAAGTATGGGAAGATGCAAGAAATTGGGTTCATAAAATTTTCTCTTGAAAATATTTAACTATCTGAAGGCCTGTTCTGCCAGTTTTCCCAGAGCACAGAGGGCCTCATTCCTGATCTGGACCCTGAACTCCTTTTGGGTGTGTTGAAGGTTAGCGACTGCAGTGGCTAATGGCTTAATTCTTGTAGAGCGACATGGCAAGCGACAATCTTTAGTTGGCAGTTGTTACCCATACTGACCAACTGCCTATAAATCAAAGGTTCCCACAATCCTTCTTGGGTTTGATGTGTTTGTTATAGCAGCTCACGGAACCCAGACCTTACTTACTGGATTACTAGTTTACAATAAAAGGTTATAACTCAGGAACAGCCAGATGGAGGAGATGCTTAGGGAAGGATATGCGAGAAGGGGCACGGAGCTTCCATGCCCTCTCCCAGCACATCACACTCCCTGCATCTCCACATGTTCGCCAACCCAGAAGCTCTCTGAACCTTGTCCTTTGGGGTTTTAATGGAGGCTTCATTACACAGTCATAATTGAGTAGATCACTGGCCATTGGTGATTGATTGAACTTCTGGGCCCTATCAGCTCCCTCAAGTGCAGGGGGTGGGACTGAAAAATTCAAACCCTCTAATCACGTGGTTGGGTCTCCTGGCTTTCAGCCCCCATTTTTAGGTGGGTTCCAAAGTCACCTCATTAACATAACCAAAACACCTTTATGGCTCTCATTAGTTAGGAAATTCCAAGCATTTAGGAGCTCTGTGCCAGAAATGGGGATGAAGACCAAATATGTATTTCTTACTGTAAATCACTATATCCCAACTATCTGCATAACATAGTTGGGATGCTCTCTCTCCTTTCCTAATCTCTGGAACAGTTTACAAGTATTATAGATTTTCTGTTCCTCTCCCGGGAAGCCACCTGGGCTTGATGTGCTGTCTGTGTGCATGTCATGCTGATATGTCGATTTTTTTAAACTAGGGATTTTATTTCTTTGGTTACAGATCTATTGATGAAAAAGATTAATAGTCAATCTAAGAAAGAAATGGAAAATTTTATTTCAGCCAACCTGAGGATTATAACCCGGGAGACAGTTTTTCTGAAAGCTCTGAGGACTATTCTGCCTGTTAGAGGTCGAAACACAGTTATATAAGTTTTGGAGACAAAGGGTTATACGTCAAATGGTGTACTGACAGTTTACACAATCCAGACCTGCATGAACAAAGTGAGAAGTGGGTCATCCTGACCCCTTACAAGATTAAAAAGGAAGGTTATTACCTAAGGAGGTCTGGTTAAGGCAGAATGCACAATACACTCTAAAGGGGAGGGGGGGAGGGAGGTCCAACGGGCAGAGAAAAATTTTATGTTTAAATTTTTCTCATCTTGCCATAAAATATGAATTTTATTTCATCAGATCTATTCAGATTACCTGATTCTCCTTGACACCACTTTGGTAATTTCTGTTTTTCTAGGATATTGCCCACTTAGTCTAATAGTTCATTTACTTGTCTATAGAATTCTTTTGCATTTTTAATCTCTTCTGTATCAATAGCTGTGTCCCATTTTTCCATTTCTAATATATCTTAATTCCTCTCTCCTAATTTTGCAAGGACTCGTTTACTAGTCTTTTTCAAAGAATTAGCTTTACTAGTCCTCTCAAGTTCATTAATTTTTGCCTTATTTTTTTAAATTATATTTTGTTTCTTTTACTTCCTCTTTGATTCCTTTTTTCCTGGCTTGATTGCTTGGCTCTTAATTTTCCATGTTTCTTACTGTCTAATGTATGCATGTCAAATTTCAAGATTATTCAACTCACTAATTAGCACTCTTCGGTTTCTTTTGCTCAGAGTCCCTAGTGCACCTAATTGTCCTTCCTTCCTGCCCAGCCCCCCAAGCCCCTTACCCCGCTGGTGGAGACATGAGAGATTTGGCAGCTGCCTTGTCAAAATCCAGGTGCACCCCCTACAGTGCTGCCCTGGTGCATTCATCTTAATAATCCAGGAAGAGGAGAACGGAGGGTGGTCTGATTGTCTTTAGTCTTCATAATCACTGGCTTATCTTCTGAGCATTGACAAATTATCCTATTAGCATTTACTTATACACCAGAGGTGTGAAATATACCTTCTTTATTTCTCAGATACCAACAACAGCAATTTCTGATTTTATTTGCAAAAGCCTGCTTCTGAGCACAGGTGCAGTTGGTTCCAACTAGCTCAGGGCTAAGGTTTCTTCTCTCCCTTTCCAATAGGTCCGCTCCCCTTTTGAGTCTGAAATTTATTCTCCTTGACATTAAAGATCAAAATCAAATGGAGGGCTTCCCTGGCGGCGCAGTGGTTGTGAGTCCGCCTGCCGATGCAGGGGACA